GACTCCGTCTCAAAAGAAAAAAAAAAAAACAAAACAAAACGCTGGGTGTGGTGGCTCATGCCTGTAATCCCAGCACTCTGGGAGGCCCAGGGGGCCAGATCATGAGGTCAGGAGATTGAGACCATCCTGGCTAACACAGTGAAACCCCATCTCTACTAAAAATACAAAAAGTTACCAGGGCGTGGTGGCGGGCACCTGTAGTCCCAGCTACTTGGGAGGAATGGCATGAACCCAGGAGGCGGAGCTTGCAGTGAGCCAAGATCCCGCCACTGCACTCCAGCCTGGGCCACAGAGCAAGACTCCATCTCAAAAAGAGAAAAAAAAAAAGTAACCAGTAAGCTCCTCAGAAGCATGATAGGGCTCTCTGATTCAATGTTGGTTCCATATTACTAGGTGCAGGCAATGCCCAAAGTCTGCTGAGTACAATACATTATTTTCTTGAAGGGCCAACCTCCTTTAGTTTTTAATGGCAAAATTTTATTTCTTCTAATTTTTCTTTGTAGCCTGAATGTATCTATCGACAAATGGAAAATGTCAAACAAAGCAAGCTACCTTCTTAAGCATTCTGTTGTTAAACTGGAAACAACCCCTATTAAATAAAAAACATTAGAGCTAGGCCAGGCGCAGTGGTTCACACCTGTAATCCCAGCACTTTGGGAGGCCCAGGCAGGTGGATCACTTGAGGTCAAGAGCTCAAGACCAGCCTGGCCAACATGGTGAAACCCTGTCTCTACTAAAAATACAAAAATTAGCCAGGTGTGGCAGTGCATGCTGTAATCCCAGCTACTAGGGAGGATGAGGCAGGAGAATCTTAAACCCCAGAGGTGGAGGTGGCAGTGAGCCGAGATTACACCACTTCACTACAGCCTGGGGGACAGAGCAAGACTTGGTCTCAAAAAAAAATAAAGTGAAATGAAATCCATCATAGGAATATCACAAATACAAAAAGCAGTTAAAGATAAAAACACAGAAGATACAAAGTTACAAACATACCAAATCATCCCTTCTTCCCTTTCCCTTCATCCCCACCCACCAGCAAATCAATTTTATCTCCAAAATAGGCACCTCCAAGTCACAGTTCCACTGTCACTATTAGTCACCATCATTTTGTAGCTGGATTACAATAACAGCCCCAGGTCACTCCTCTGCCTCAAATTCCTTCCTTGGAGCCCACAGCACTTTAAATAAAAACCCAATTCCTGACCTTGATCTTTATCTCCAAACTAATTTTTTATGTCCCCTTTCTCCTTTAAGAAACACACGCCCGAGCCAGATAGGGTGGCTCACATCCGTAATCCCAGCACTTTGGAGGCCAAGGTGGGTGGATCACAAGGTCAAGATATGGAGACCATCCTGGCCAACATGGTGAAACTCTATCTCTAGTAAAAATACAAAAATTAGCCAGACATGGTGGCGGACGCCTGTAGTCCCAGCTACTCAGGAGGCTGAGGTAGGAGAACCACTTGAACCCGGGAGGAAGAGGGTGCAGTGAGCCGAGATTGGGCCACTGCACTGTAGCCTGGCCACAGAGTGAGACCTCATCTTCCAAAAAAAAAAAAGAAAGAAACAACACACTCCCAACACAATGGACTTTCTTACCTCAGGACATCTCCATAAGCTTTTCCCTAAACCTGGTAGGCTCTTCCCCTCCTCTCAAGCCAAGCCTTGCCTAGGCAGGGTTCTTCTTTACTCTCAGGTCTTAGCTTCATGCTTTCTCCTACCACACCACCCCGGGTAGGTCCCTCCTGTTATAGTCCTTCAGCCTTGGTTTATTTCCTTCATAGCATTTATTAATCTTACTAGTACTTTATTTTTCTACTTTTCAGTCTGTCTTCTCCACTACAGTAGGAGTTCCACAGGGAGAAAGTATGTCTGTCACACATCTTTCCCAGTACCTACGCTGGGTTATAATTCTCTTATAAACATTTGAACAAAAATATAAAATTAAAAATTATGAAACGTTCCAATAAAAAGCATAAGACTATAACAATGCAAGCCACCAGTCCTTAAATTTCAAGTAGGACATTATTGTTACAAATTTTAGCTATGCAAGATAAACCAAAATATTAGCCAAGAGGTATTAAATTCTGGCTTTAAAAGCTCAGTTTTGATGCCTGAAAAGTTAAGCCACTAAACGTATCCTGTTTGGGATGTGAAGAAGCATTACACTGAGTTTTCCGTTTGGCAAGGCTCTAGTAGTCACTAGCTTTCTATAAAAGGCTAATAACATGTTAAGGCTAAGCCATGAAAACCAGGCTTGGGAGTGGCAATTCGAAGATTCAGTATAACAAAGTAAATTCAGTCAGTATCTAATTCAACCAGCATGGTGATCTCCTTCAGAGATACCTAGGAAAATGAAAAACTAATATTAAAGCAACAGGCCTGAGGCAGAGGGCACAGAGAAGGAGAAACAAAGCTGAACGTGAGGGGGAGGGTCAGAGAAAGGCCCTATCATCTGTGAAGGGACTGGAACAACAGGTAGGATTTCAACAGATGGAGAGCGAGGTGTAGTTAAGGCAGTCAATGAAGAGCCAACAGCGGGAGCAAAGGTGCAAAGGTACAAAGGTATGAGTAACGAAGGATGGCTACCAGGGAGTAAGTGAGCAGCCTAGTAGAGATGCAGTAAAGGAAGGACGAGAGGAGGCAAAAACAGAATTACATGCTTGTTCTCTAAGAAGACACATGCATGTATGGAAAATTTGGAGGCGATTCTGTGGATAGACAGAAGCAGCATACTTCTTTTCCTCCCTCTAGAAGGAGATTCAAGCCATTAACTCACTTTTTTTCTTTCTTTTTTTTTTTTTTTTTTTGAGACGGAGCCTCACTCTGTCGCCGGGCTGTGCAGTGGCGCGATGTCGGCTCACTGCAACCTCCGCCTCCCGTGTTCAAGCGATTCTCCTACCTCAGCCTCCCCAGGAGCTGGGATAACAGATGCCCGCCACTACGCCCAGCAAATATTTTGTATTTGTAGTAGAGACGGGGTTTCACCATGTTGGTCAGGCTGGTCTCGAACTCCTGAACTCGTGATTTGCCTGGCTCGGCTTCCCAAAATGCTGGGATTACTGGCGTGAGCTACCACACCCCGCCATTAACTCGCTTTTTGAAACAGCTGTATTATTAGTATTCATCACCTCAGCGTAAGTACATGCATGGCTTAATGAATGCCTGGTATTAATTATATAATTCACTCTCACAAACGAGATGAATAATTTATTCAGTCATACTACAAATCTCACTACAGTGGGTTCTAAGATTCTCAACCCCTTAAATTGGAATTATATTGTGCTCAAAGTTGACTGCAACTACCAGCATCTGCCAGGAACCGCATGTTTCACCAATCAGATTCTTGGTGTCCTGGTCTTTGTTATACAGTATTTGATTTATAATCACTTTCTGCCCACTTTTAAAGTCCATTTAGTTCAGTAGTTAATCTTAAAGTCATTATACTATCATGGCTTCTTTTTCTATCTCTATCCCACTATGCAAACAGTTCATGTCCTTAATTATAATAGCTTTTAATGTTTAAAGTTTAGAGTAATACCCGGTCGACAAATCCATAAAGTCATAAACATTTAACCCTGGAAAAACTGCATCAACACCCAATCCTTTTAAAACAGATGTTTAAGAAATGAACTGGCCAGTTTGTTACTTTAAAAATTCTAGGCAACTTTTCAACTCAAATTTGGGATAATTTAAATAAAAGAAACCTCTGATAAAATCAAAGTGTTACAGGGCAAACACAACAATAAAAACAAATCTTTGTTAAAATGCTTAAGGCAAATTAAAGCAACTAATCAATTAAAATAATGTATTTCACTTGGAAAAGAGACTGCTTGGTCACTTTGCATTAATTTAAAAATAAGAGATACTAAGTCATTAGACTTAACACAAAAAGCACGTCTGAAATTAAACTAGGATACAACTCAGTGTCATTCAAAAATTTTCCTTAATAACATTTTAGCCTAATTCCACCTTGGAAATTAATCAGACTAATCTCTGGCCTACTAATGGTCCTTGGGGAGAAAATATGAAATACATTTTCCAAAAAATATCCTCGCTGAAGCCAATGCACCTTATCTTTGCGATTAACGTACTATAAAAGTGGTGGTGTCTGGCCTGCTTCAAACTTGGCACCACAGTATCAAATATATAGTTTTGATATTTTGGTTTCATTTTGTCGACTGTTACAAAGGCTGCAGTCCTGGAGTTAACCTGGAGTTCAGAGAAATTATATTTGGAGGGAGTACACGAACCTGGGATAGTGTGCAAACTTGTGTGTACGTGCCTTTGGCAGGGAGGGGTGGGGCTTGGGTGGTGAGTGCTCGGCTATCTCCAGATTCTCAAAGAAGTCTATGGCTAAAAACGGTTTTTGGCCGGGTGCGGTGGCTCATGCCTGTAATCCCAGCATTTTGGGAGACCGAGGCAGGCGGATCATGAGGTCAAGAGATCGAGACCATCCCGGCCAACATGGTGAAACACCGTCCTCTACCTTAAAAATACAAAAATTAGCTGGGCGTGGTGGCGTGCGCCTGTAGTCCCAGCTACTCGGGAGGCTGAGGCAGGAGAATAGCTTGAACCTGGGAGGCCCTCGGAGGTGGCATTGAGCCGAGATGGCACCACTGCACTTCAGCCTGGCGACTCCGTCTCAAAAAAAAGGTTTTTAGGAAAACCAGCAAATCCCTGCATCAGTATTACACCCAGAGAAAGTCACGAAAGGCAAAAAGCGTAAATTTTATGCCACCCCCGTTAAACATTTAAAACGCATCCTCCTGACATTGAGAAACAGCCTCATGAGAAAAACACAAAAAACAAAAACGCATCCTCTTATCCAGTGACCCAGATCCTGACACTAGCTTTCCGTTAGGAAGGCCTTCTGGAAAATAATTTGGTTCAGAATGGGGGGAATATGGGTTCAAGCGCGCCCCACCCCCCTACACAAACACCCTTCGACCGACCCGGTTCTCGACCTTCCTCCGCGGTCGGGACGGGCTCTCGCGTACCTGGGCGCGGGTTCGATGAGAGTGGTGGTGTCCAGGTAGTGGATCTTGTAGAACTCCAGCAGGGCCGGCAAATGGTCAAACTCCTGGTCCCCGATCTTAAAACGGCGGTTGGGCAGCGAGTTGATGATGTAGTGGGAGACCCGCGAGTTCTCGGACACCGACAGCACATAGTCCCCAGGGCAGGTGGAAGAATCGCGGACGAGGAACATACCGTGGCGCTGGCCCTGGAGCCGGGTCTGCGCCTCCTGGCGAGACACCGGCCCCATGTACCAGGCGGAGCGGTCCGAGGAGTCGAACCTGGCAGAGGACATGGTGTCGGGCCGGGGACTCTGCGGCGGTAGGGGCGGCGGCTGTCCTCGCCTGCTCTGCACGCCTTAGCCCGGCAGACGGCTTTGGGGCCGAGGAAGGGCCTCTCGCACACCTCGAGGAGCGCTCAGAGGGCTGGGCCAGCACTTTCCTCTCGGCTCCAGGCCCGCAGCATCCTCCAACGCCGCCCGCCTGCTCCGGGGCCGCCTCACGGAGAGCCGCCCGGGAATGCAGGGCAGAGCCGGGGGGTCAGGGCACTCAAAGCCGAGCCGCAGCTGAGGCCACCCCGGGGTTCTCGGGCTGCTCGGCGTCCCAGGGGTGCCTCCAGTGACTCCCGGCCTGGAACGCGCCGGCGTCGCAGCTCCACGGGTCTTCACCGACCCCCGCCGTCACACGAGGCACCGAACTCGAAGGAGCGTCGCGCCTCCGGGGTGGTTTTGCCCAGCTCGTTCCCAATAGCTACAGCAACAAAATGGCGGACGCGGGAGAAGCGGCAGCCACCTCCCCCTCCGCTCAGCGCGCTCCGTCTGCGCACGCGCGGAGCCCCGGCTCCCGGCGGCCGCCGGGGCCCTTCCGTGGCGTCACACAACGCTGCCAATGAGGAGCACCGTCACGACGATCTGGGTGGGCGCTGGTCGCGCCCGCTCCCGCGTTCCGGGAGGAGGCTGAAGAGGCGCCGGCGGTAGGCACTCTCTTCCTGGGCCGCTGCGCGCCGCTGGGGGCGCTGCGGCTGCCGGGTCTCCCAGCGCTGGCAGGAAAACAGCTGGAGCCGAGAGGGAGCGGCGTGTCGAAAACCTGCTTCTGGGAACAAAGCGTAACGTGCAGGCCGAATCGCGGGCCAGGGAGGCGTGGCACTGAGGCGACCTGGCCAGCCTAGGGGCCTGAGGGAGCTCAAGAAGTGACAGGTCACGATGGGCCGAGGTGGCCCAGTAAAGGGATGACCCCAGGGGCAGATGTGACTACCAGATAGGTGACTGAATGACTCAGTCCCCTGGTGGCTTGATAGGCTAAGGAAGCCCTAGTGGCTACGTGACCCGCTAAATGGAGAGAGAGGAGAGAGAAGGTGAGGGTTAGATTGACTCAATTAAGTAGTCAAGGCAGTCCACAATTGGGTAACCTGGCCATCCAGGGCTTTGAACTGTTGAAGGTAAAATGCAAACGCCTCTCGGGCGTGGCCCCGAGGCTTCGCCTGCCCTGGATTATGCCTGCTTCTCCCTATTTATTAATCCCTATTTGTTTTTGTTGTTTTCTATTTTGTTTATTTATTTATTTTGAGACGGAGTCTTGCTCTGTCCACAGGTTGGAGTGCAGGGGCACGATCTCGGCTCATTGCAACCTCCGCCTGCCGGGTTCAGGCAATTCTCCTGCCTCAGCCTCCCGAGTAGCTAGGATTACAGCCATCCGCAGCCATGCCCTGCTGATTTTTGTATTTTTAGTAGAGACGGGGTTTCACCATGTTGGCCAGGCTGGTCTCAAACTCCTGACCTCAGGTGATCTGCTTGCCTTAGCTTCCCAAAGTGCTAGGATTACAGGCGTGAGCCACCGTGCCCTGCCTGTTTGTTTTATTTTGTTTTTGAGACAGGTTCTCCTTCTGTCACCCAGGTTGGAGTGCAGTGGAACTATCATGGCTCACTGCAGCCTTGATTTCTGCATCTCAAGGGATCCTCCCACCTCAGCCTTCCGAGTAGCTGGGACTACAGGCTCGCGCTGCCATGCCCAGCTAATTTTTTTTGATTTTTAATAGAGACGAAATCTCACTATGTTGCCCAGGCTCGTCTCAGACTCCTGAGCTCAAACAATCCTGCCCCTCAGCCAAGATGTGAGGCGCTCGGCCCAGCTATGTATGAAATAAGCTAATATATGCAAAGTGCTTAGAATAGTACCTGGCACATAAGCATCATATGAGTCTTCCATTATTATTATTCACTCCTTCCCTGGGCCTGTACCTTTAGAGCCTAAAACCCTGAGCATACCCTCGGTGGGTGAGGGAGGAGAGAAAAATCTCCACTTCGTTTGCTAGCTGCTTTTCACTGTCAGATTTACCACTTAATAATCACCTGCTCCTTGCCCAGCGTTTTTTCTGTTTTTTTGTTTTGTTTTGTTTTGTTTTGAGACCGACTCTCGCTCTGTAGCCCAGGCTGGAGTATAGTGGCGCAATCTCAGCTCAGTACAACCTCTGCCTTCTGGGTCCAGGTTCAAGCAATTCTCCTGCCTCGGCCTGCCGGGTAGGTGGGATTACAGGCACGCACTACCATGCCCAGCTAATTTTTATATTTTTGGTAGAGACAGGGTTTCACCATGTTGGCCAGGCTGGTCTTGAACTCCTGATGTCATTATCCACCCACCTCAGCCTCCCAAAGTGCTGGGATTACAGGTGTGAGCCACTACCTGTAATCCCAGTGGTGACTTTTAAAATTATTTAATTTTTTGTAGAGATGAGGTCTCACTGTATTGCCCAGGCTAGTCTGGAACTGCTGGGCTCAAGTGATCCTCCCAGCTTGGCTTCCCAAAGTGTTGGGATTACAGGCGAGAGCCACCCGCCCAGCTGCTCAACCAAATCTGACTTCCACCCATGCTTTGACTGAATTAGGCTTTTTGGGTTTTGTATTTATTTATTTATTTATTTATTTATTGAGACGGAGTCTTGCTCTGTTGCCCAGGCTGAAGTGCAGTGGCGCGATCTCTGCTCACCACAAGCTCCGCCTCCCGGGTTCACGCCATTCTCCTTCCTCAGCCTCCGGAGTAGCTGGGACTACAGGCGCCCGCCACCATGCCCGGCTAATTTTTTGTATTTTTGGTAGAGACAGGGTTTCACCATGTTAGCCAGAATGGTCTTGATCTCCTGACCTTGTGATCCGCCTGCCTCGGCCTCCCAAAGTGCTGGAATTACAGGCGTGAGCCACCGCGCCCAGCCTTGTTTTGTTTTTAAAGACAGGTCTCTCTGTTGCTGACTCTGGTCTCAAATTCACAGGCTCAAGTAGCCCTCCTGCCTCAGCCTCCAAAGTAGCTGGGATTACAGATGTGAGCCACAGCAACCCGCTCTCTGCCCTCTAAGTGTAAAGACTCCTTCACCTCTCTATAATTTTTCCTTTCGTAGGCTCATAATCATCATGAAGCATTCAGGGGTCACATCTCTGGTGACTCCAAACACATATTCTAAAAGCAGAACCAAAACTGACCATACTCTCTGATTACTATGTATACACTGTGGTCACAGCCTAAATTAATTTTTATCGCATTCTTTTGTAATTGTTTATAAATATTTTTCTCATCCCAATCTGAGCATCTTGAGGGCAGGCTGCTGTATATTATTTTTTCTATTCCCAGTACCTAGCACATAATACATACTATTTTTTTTTTTGAGACGGGGTCTTTACTCTGCCGCCCAGGCTGGAGTGTAGTGGTGCAATCTCAGCTCACTGCAACCTCCGCCTCCCCGGTTCAAGTGATTCTCCTGCTTCAGCCTCCTGAGTAGTTGGGATTACGGGCACGCGCCATCATGCCTGACTAATTTTTGTATTTTTAGTAGAGACGGGGTTTCACCACGTTAGCCAGGCTGGTCTCAAACTCCTGACCTCGTGATCTGCCCGCCTTGGCCTCCCAAAGTGCTGGGATTACAGGCGTGAGCCACCACGCCCAGCCAATACATAATATATGGTTTTTGAATGTAGATGAATAAAGATGGGAGGAAGCCAGAGAAAAATGAAAATTGAACATTAGCTGCTGACTCACTCCCTTTTCAGCAGCCCTCTTTACCTCATCTTTTCAGGGTGTACTATCTGTCTATATAAACTATCTGCTCCTGGCCAGGTGCAGTGGCTCGCACCTGTAATCCCAGCATTTTGGGAAAGTGAAGCAGGTGGATCCTTTGAGGCAAGGAGTTAGAGACCAGCCTGGCCAACATTGCAAAACCCCATCTCTATTATAAAAAAAAAAGTAAAAACATTCTTTTCTTTTTTTTTTTTTTTTTGAGGCGAAGTCTCGCTCTGCCGCCCAGGCTGGAGTGCAATGGCCGGATCTCAGCTCACTGCAAGCTCCGCCTCCTGGGTTCACGCCATTCTCCGGCCTCAGCCTCCCGAGTAGCTGGGACTACAGTCGCCCGCCACCTCGCCCGGCTAGTTTTTTGTATTTTTAGTAGAGACGGGGTTTTACCGTGTTAGCCAGGATGGTCTCGATCTCCTGACCTCGTGATCCGCCCGTCTCGGCCTCCCAAAGTGCTGGGATTACAGGCTTGAGCCACCGCGCCCGGCCAAAAAACATTCTTTTCTTCAAGACGGAGTCTCACTCTATTACCCAGGCTGGAGTGCAGTGGCGTGATCTCGGCTCACTGCAACCTCTGCCTCTCTGGTTCAACCAATTCTTCCTGCCTCAGCCTCCTGAGTAGCTGGGTCTACAGGCGCGTGGCACCATGCCTGGCTAATTTTTGTATTTTTTAGGAAAGACGGAGTTTCACTATATTGGCCAGGCTGATCTCAAACTTCTAACCTCGCAACCCACCCACCTTGGCCTCCCAAAGTGCTGGGATTACAGGCGTGAGCCACCACACTCAGCCAATGTAAAAACATTTTAAAAGTAAACTCTCTGCTCTCTATTTTCCTTAAATAAACCCTCTTTTTAGAAAAAATAAAAAGAAGGTCAGGCACTGTGGTTCACACCTGTAATCCCAGCACTTTGCAAGGCCAAGGCCGGCAGATCACTTGAGGTCAAGAGTTCAAGACCAACCTGGCCAACATAGTGAAACCCTGTGTCTACTAAAAATACCAAAATTAGCCAAGCATGGTGGTGCTCACCTGTAGTCCCAGCTACTCAGGAGGCTGAGACAGGAGAATTGCTTGAATCTGGGAGGCGGAGGTTGCAGTGAGCCGGGATCATGCCACTGCACTCTAGCCTGGGTGACAGAGCAACATACCGTCTCAAAAAAAAAAGAACCAAATATCTCTCATTTTGCTTCTAAATACTCCAGAGGGGAATAAAGTGTGGGTTAGATAAAAGTGAAACAAGAATGGCCATGTGTGACTGATAATTATTGAAACCAGGTGGCATGATGTGAGGGTAAGGTTAATTATATTCCATAATACTTTTATATATGTTTGGAATTTGTCATAATAACATTTTTGTAAAAGATACTTTCCTTTTTTTTCCTTAGCACAGTTGAGACAAGCATAAAATAAACTTTCCAGGCTGGGCATGGTGGCTCATGTCTGTAGTCCCAGCACTTTGGGAGGCCAAGGTGGGTAGATCACTGAGCCCAGGTGTTGAAGTCCCAGCTACTCAGGAGGCTGAGGTGAGGGGATCACCTGAGCCCAGGAGGTCACGGCTGCGGTAAGCCTTGATTGTGCCACTGCACCTCAGCCTAGGCAACAGAGCGAGACAGAGCCTGTCAAAAACATTCCAAAAAAAGTTCCTAAATGCTGAGATAACAAAACAGCAATGAGTAGAGAAACAGAAAGAAACCATTAAAAAAGCTGTAACATGTAGATTTGTGATTCTTCCTTAGCTTGCATATTCCCAGGGTTTCTAGATGGTATTATACTTAAACTCCTGTCTTCTAAAA